CAAAACTTAGATTGATAGAAAAGTGTACTTTGGACGGTATCATCGTGTCACATGCGCATGTCTTGTCCCTCGTGAGTCAAACACTCGTCAAAAACATTATTTATGCATATAGAAATGGCTAAATCTATGTTTCATGTAGGGGTCAAGCTTGTCAAGCTTACCATGTAATATAGTTCATCAAAAGTGTCTTGATACATTAGAATAGGAATTTTTGCATATTTTAAGGCTTTGAGTCGACTCAAAGCTAACTCCGATCGACTCATACAGATAGTCCTTTCAATGGACTACTCTCAGGAGGGCTCGCATCGACCCTCTAGTCGACTCATATTGTGTCCATTTTTATTTGCCTAAATTTGCATGCTTTGCATTGACGCGTGACCTGCTCCGATCGACGCAAGATTCTGTTTTTGCACAATTAGGAACACGGATAAGCTCAGGTCAACCCTCCTTTCTGCATAGGTCGACCGCTCGCTTATGTTTAGTTAAAAATCTGTTATGTGAAACAGTCTTGGTGTTTTTTATGTTTGTTAATCAGTTATGTCTTGTATATAAAGTGAGTTTTGCTCTTCCTTCGACACAATTGAGAAAAACAAGAAAAGTGAAAATAACATACTGATTTGTTCTCATCATCATCCTCTTCATAACATTTTCTCAACAACTACACATAATCATCTTTGTTGTGCATTCTGCTTGTTCAAGGTGATAACGTCCAAATTAGGATTGGTGTAATCTGATTTGGGTTGAGTAATTAGTAGGTTTTTCTTGAATAAAACCGTTAGGATTTTGTCCTCCAAGAATCTTGGATTTTGGGGGTTTTTGCACGAATCGGTCCATCATAGACTCAGCCGAGCGAAGGTAATCGAAGAACAGGTGGTTCTGTTGATTTAGTAGCGGTAACCGGAAGATTGTGAGTAGAAGATTCGAGTTCGACACGTGGGTGACTGAAATCAGCCGGGCAAGATTTGAAGACCGTGGGGTTATTCAAAGGGCGCCTGTAGTCGTAGGTTTACTCACCGCGTTCGAAGGACTTGATTTAACTTGAATCAAGAGACGAGAAGAAATAGGCTCTACATCAACAAATTGTGTTTGATCATTTGATCTCTATTTGATTCTTGTGTAAACATTAACCAACAGGTTATATCTATCTATATACACATCTCAATTCTATTGTTAGAATTGAGGGCAGACATACCCCGAGCGAGGACGACGGGGGAACTGCCTCAACAAATCGTTGTCTCTTTCTTTACGTTTATATTTCTTAAATTCTGAGTTTTAAGTGCAAATAACTGTGTTAATCAAATTCTGATTTGAGTAATGCTCAATTATTTTTTAAGCTTGTTACAATCCTTGATTGTAATAGAACACTTGAGCACTTTACTCTCATAGTAGAATTTACTTGTAGTGCCTTGCACTCCAAGTGTTTGACCAATTGTGTGAACTAAAAACAATTGTGTTGTCTTTTCAAATTGTCTATATTTTAAAAGCATTGGAACTAGTCACACCTTATAGTGAACAAAATCTGATTGAAGTGTGATCAAATTAGTGATTCGTAAATCTCATTTTAATCGAATTCCATAAGTTTTACGCATATCCGACTTTTTCGGTAAAGGTTCGTTTTAGACGAATATAGTTTCTCGGACGCTTCCGCCTAAAACATTTTTAAAAACCAATTTTCGGTAGCGCCGACTCTGTTTTAAACAAGGGATCTATTCAACCCTCCCCCCTCTCCCTCTAGATCAGTGCCATCGTCTATCAACTTAATACTTGAAGAACAAGTTTAATGCATGAAAAATTATTTCAAAACTTTATGCATGATATCATTCAAATCTAGAGGGACACATACACCATAAACTATTCAAATATTCTAATGACAACTTTAAAAAAAAAAATTATATATATATATATATATATATATATATATATATATATATATATATAGTATATATATAGATATATATTATATATATATATATATATATATATATATATATATATATATATATATATAATATATATATATATATATATATATAATATATATATATATATATATATATATATATATATATATATATATATATATATATATATATATATATATATATATATATATATATATATATATATATATATATATATATATATATATATATATTATATATATATATATATATATATATATATATATATATATATATATATATATATATATATATATATATATATATATATATATATATATATATATATATATATATAATATATATATATATATATATATATATATATATATATATATATATATATATATATATATATATAAAAGCACATTTACCATTGTAATAATATCATCCGCATTATCGAAAAATGCATATTTTTGAAAACTACATATTTTTAAAAGGAAATTAAATATAAATTATATTTAACTTGTTCTTTTCCATCTTTTTCATAATCAAGAATCAATTAAATTTGTTTTATCTTCCATAAAACATACTTTTAGAAAAACACAAAAAAAAAAAAAGTCTTAATCTAAACTATTATATTTTTTTTTAACAGATATGATTTATTGCTTTTTTTCTTATATATTAAGATGGATGGGGTGCTTTATAATGTTGTTTTGCAAATAAAAGGGAACACATTTTTATTTATTTTACAGATGTGTTCAGCAATAGGTACATGCAGATGATGGATATATCCCTCGTAATACTATAAGAGTAGTGACCAAATCCAAATCTAAACAATCATGATTAATCTTTATAAAATTTTACTTAAAGTGTGTTGTTAACAAGTTCAATGTGGTTGTCTGGTGAACTGTTATCCCCTTTATGATGGACCTGAATTTTCTTGTAGGTGTACATTTTAGCACAAAACAAGTAGGTAAATGAGATTAATAAACTGCAAGAGTGTGATTAGCCAATAAAAGTATTCCAACTTGCCCTTGTTGATATTTTTATCTGGAAGCCAATTTTCACCATTAGGCCCTGCAGTAAACTTGTGAATCAAGGTAACCAAAAGCGTACTCACATAGTTTCCCAAGTGAAATAGAAGTCCAAAAAAATGCCATTGCAGTGCTTGTCATACTCTCTGGAGCTTGGTCATAAAAAAACTCTAAATGTCCAATTGACATAAAAGCTTCCGCCATTCCATGTAGACTATATTGTGGCACAAGCCAAAACACCGAGATTGGGATTATTCATTTGCATGATCCACTAGACCATTTTTTTATAGCTACCTTTTTCCGCTTGATTTCGATGAAACCAGCGACGAAGGTAGCGAAAAGGGAGATCACAAATCCA